CTAGCCTGGGCAACAGAGTGAGACTCTGTCCCCTCTCCTCCAATTTTTTTTGAACTGATATAGTATAAAATAGTTGTATGTATTTTTTAGGTACATGTGATTTTTTTAATATATGCATACAACGTGTAATGATGGAAGAGGGTAACTGGGGTTATCTATCACCTTAAATATTTATCTTTTCTTTGTGCTGGGAACATTCTAGTTCTTCTAGCTATTTTGAAACATACAAGGAATTACTGTAAACTACAGCATCCCTACTGTACATCTGAATACTAGAACTGATTCCTTTTAGCTAACTGTTCCATTGTACCCATTAACTATGATCTCTCTATGCCTGCTCCCAAGCCACCATATTTCTGCCAGGGCCTTCTTTCTCTTGACTCCCTTAGTTGGACGGGTGGGCAAGCTCTGCTGCGGTGACCAGGGAAGGTCAAATGGGAAGGCATGTCACAGATGTGGAGGAGGTGGCAGGCTGTGAGTCTCTAACGGAGAGCTGGCAGAAAAATGAGAAGATCAAAGGAAATAAGGCAAGAAGACTGCTTCAACTGCAGAGAAGGCAAGATGTAAATTCTTAAGAAGGTCAGAGGAGTGATTGACGATTATGTGAGGGACTCATAAAGTGAAATGATGGAAAGACTGAGCTGAATGAGAGTAAAAAAAAAAAAAATCTTTTTCAGGGCAATAAAGCTCTGTCTACACAGTACAACAAATGGTTTAAAAATTGAGCCACCAATCAGTTGCTATGACTAGCCAGCTGCAGAAAATTTCCCCCTCACTGAATCGACTGGTCTCCCTGACATAATTAGTCTGATCCACATTAAGAAAAAGTTCCATGAACTATGTGATTACTTCATACACAAAGTAAATGCATATAAACAAATTCAAGTGCTGCTTTTAAAAGTTTTCAGGGATAAAAATTTTTTTTTCAGGGATAAAAGTGATTATTCAAGTATAAACTTAATGAGAAATTAATAGGCTCAGTGCCTGTAGCTCAAGCGGCTAAGGTGCCAGCCATATACATCTGAGCTGGCGGGGTTCGAAATCAGCCTGGGCCTGCCAAAGAACAATGAGGGCTGTAACCAAAAAAAATAGCCGGGCATTGTGGGGGGTGCCTGTAATCCCAGCTACTTGGGAGGTGGAGGCAGAAGACTCGCTTGAGCCCAGGAGTTGGAGGTTGCTGTGAGCTGTGATGCCACATCACTCTACCCAAGGTGACAGCTTGAGGCTCTGTCTCAAAAAAAAAAAAAAAATTAGTAATGGCCAAATGCTATTAGGATTAAGCCCCAAAGCAAAGTCAAACACTGCTCTGGGCCAGGGGCTGACAATGTTTCCGAGTGTGCACGTACGCTGGTCCTGGTGGACCCCACACCCATTGGCCGTGGGAACAATAGCCAGTTGTCATGCAACAGGACGTCAGATGCCATGGGAGTCTCCTTGCCAATTTCAGTTCTGAGTTAGAAATTATTGGCCCTACGTGTGAAATGTTATTTTAAACAAAATTTCCTTCAAAGTACAGCATTAAAGAGTTTTCTAAAATATTGAAAAGTTCCTGAATCAAGAAGTGCTATCAGTAAAATCAGAATATTTTAGTTCTATTGCATGATTCAGAGGAGCATGAAGGTCTACAGTTGAAAAGTGTCAATTAAAAGAAAAATCATTACTATCTTAGGGCTTCCCATTAACTGGCTGATAGAACTTGGCATTTGAATTCATGTTCATTGAAAAGCTACCCAGAATTTTGCTGTTGCAATTACAAAGCACTCTGATGGGGCACGGTGCATGACACAGATCTAAAAATGAACTTGCAACAAATTAAAAAATAATTTTTTGTTAAATTTTTTAGTCCCCATGGTTTTAATTCCACCATCTAATACTGATATATCCTAATCTTACTATCTAAAATGCTCAACATAATAGAATAGGTAGGTGGTTTGAATTTTTTAAAATTTCTGAATCTTTTTGTTTTGTAGCCCAAAACATTCTAGCATATCTGTAATTGATTATACTCTCAAAGGAAAGAACACAGATATTAGTTTATTTCTGATTATAGACTACTAAATTAAACTTGATCTATGCTATCAAAAGTCCTTCTGGATTGGAAAGCAAATCTTTTCCCCACATGCTGAGAGAACCCTGGAGGAGGTACTGAGAAAGACGGAGGTGACCAGTTCTGTTGAGTCATCTCCCTCGTTATGTCTAATGAGACTTCATCACAACAGATCTCTCAAATATCATTCTCTTAGATTAAAAAAAGGAGGCTCCTGCAAAATGTAATACCCTTCTAATATTTTTTAGACTTCCATTTGCACATAAAACAGGACAAATGCCCCAGAATTCCATTAACATTTCTTGCAAACTGGATAATCAAATTGCCAGGATTTCTCTCACTGGAAGTCAAGACAAGCAACTCTACCGTCAAGAGAAATTTGGAGAAGTTGTTTGTTTAAGTCCTAGGCTAATGTCTACCCCCAAGATCCCTTTTCTAATACCATGAATTTGTTGCTTGGACTATTTTTTTTTTTTAATCATAGGACCACAGGAATTAAAACAAATATCCTAAACATACCTTAGAACTTTTTTTTTTTAAATAGACTAATGAAAGGCAGATATATAATTAACACCCTGGCTTTTGTAGATATATTCCATTTCTTTTATTAGAAAATATTAACTGTTAAGAGGTAGAACAGCTCTCAAAGCCAAAGAGTAAAACTGTCCCTTTAAAATTAGTCCCTTTAAAACAAATTTAAACAACGAAGACGTTTATAGGTTCACACTATCTAGCTTGTCACTGTCATCGAACTTTAGAGTTAGGAGGAATGTTTACAGCCCAGCAGGTTGGAGAGGAGAGCCAGCCCGAGTGTCGGCTGCCATTTCCTGAATGTTCTGAAGCAGGGACCTAGTATAGATCTGTTCACAGATTTCCAGTAACTTTTCTCTGGAAAGAAGAGGTTCTCTCATGACAAGTTCTTACAGGGACCTCTGGCTGTGTAGGGGGTTCCCCTGTTATATAAATACCACACGAATGCACCTGTAACTTATACTCTAAGGGCCCAACAATCATGCTCTCGGTATGTTCTAAAAGAAGGAGCAAAAAAGTGCTAAAAAGAATTATGTAACCTCTTTAGCAACTTCAATCTTAGGATGTAAAAAATGCATACTGCAATGAACAAATGCCTTTTTGAGCTGGGAGGCTGACATACTAATTAGCACAGTGCAATCTGAATCCAACCTGCCCAGTTTAATGCAATGCCATAAAAATACAGCCATTTTGGTTTGACATCTCCAGAAAAGCAATGGGGTAGTTACCTAAAGGATATTTTCATTACTATCCCTCCCAGAGTTCAACAGAGAAAGAAATAAATGTAAGATTTAAAGTTATGTAAGTAAATACTTAAGAATAAGGGGAATGGGATAACCTCAAGAAGGACACCAGCCCACTTAAAACAAGGCAATCAAGCCTCTGATATATAAAGTCTCAGTCCCTTCAGACAGGAAGGCATTTGGGAAATATGTGCACAGCGGGAGGCAGATGCTTCAAACATCATAAGCAGCTAACAAGGAATGAGGTTACTTTAAAAGGACTAGATTTTTCAGCTGCTATGCCTAAAACTTATCCTGACTGTGGCTGACAAGCAGGTGATGGAGATTTCATGTGGGACCAGAAGGGCTTGCAGTAGGCACTTCTCCCCAATCACTTCTTACAGAGAGTTTAAAATGAAGAACACTTAATCATACTCTTACTTTATGTTCTTTTAATCACCAAATGATAGTTAATTAGTTATCATAGAATCAGAAAAACACTTGTGTTCTGGAGACCAATGGTTCCTAGGATTGGACACCTGCAAAGAGCTTATTTCAATTTCTCTGAAGCAATACACACTTACAGCTAATTAATAATTTTTCTCTTCTTTTCAGTCCCGAAAGATTTTAAAAAATGGCCCTGTGTCATTTGGGAACTATATATTAATAGATGGGATATGTCTCAATTCCTTTGAAATCTAGCCTTTTCTAAGTAAGAAATAATAAAGAAAATATAAAACGTATATTAGATCATTACTAGGTTAAAAGTCCAAAATGTGTTCAAAATAAACCACTTCTTCTGACTTGAATATTCATCTTTGCATTTTAGAAGCAAACAAAATAAATGAAAACATTTTCCCCCTGTTTTCACTGAGTATGGATTATGGGTCTGAGACAGCAATTTGTTGTTGCTGTTGCTAAGTACTACGTACTAAAAAGATACTACACAAGGAGTGCTGGGGTGCTTTGTTAGACTGATGAAAATGAGAGAAGGAAGGAGGCCCCAGAAATGCCTGAGCACAAGCTCCACGTCACTCACTCTGTTAATAAAACATGTGGCTGTAACAAAACTCCTATGTAAGGGAAGGAGTATGAGAAATCATGAAATCAGCAAGAGGCTGAAGAGAGACCCGTGCGGGGCTAAACGCAGGAAAACACACAGAAGGTAGAGGTATTCCGATGCTTTCCCAGTAAGATGAGGCTCTGACTTTGCCTCTCCCTCTGCACTGAGGTATCACATCGTCACCAGTGTCTACTGGCAGGTTTGGTGGAAAAAACGTTAGGGTCACAGATTTGCATTGTCTTTTGGTGAAATAAGACAGAAAGGGCCACACATGCGCTGTCTCTTCAGTAATGAGTCGAGCAACCTTTGTTTTTATTTTGTTGTCATGGAGATAGAGGCCCAGCAGTGGGAATTGTAGGAACATACCAGGGCTGTGGCCAGATGCCCTGGATCCATCTGGATGTATATAAAAAAAAGTCAAACCACCTTCAGGTGCAAAGAGCCCAGCCCTGGGAATCACAGGTTTTCTCTAGAAGCATGCTAATTTAACCATGGGCAGGAAGCATGCCCCTAGGGAGATACAGAGTCCACAAGCATTTTAAATAAAAGGAGGATGACGATGTTAGGATTTTCACTAACTACATTCTTTCTATATGATTTCAACAAGAGAACAAAACAATTTCAAATGCTTAAGATATACAACAGGGAAAAGGGAATCATCTTTTACTTAATCTGAGTTATAATTTTCCCAATAAAATCTATACATATTGAGTGGGGTGTGCACAAAGAAATAACAATTATTTTTAAAAGTTTCGACTGTTCAGTTTAAGGATAGCTCTGAAAACACAATTTAGTTTGAAATTCAAGCTGTTTCATTTCCTATTTAATCTTGTAAATTTCCTTCTCTTACAATGCCCAGGTTGGAAGGGTGCCAAATTAGACCAGGAACAAATTTTCACCAACTTCACTTCAGTGCTTTATTTTTAGATTATATTAAAAACCTCATTAGGCTCCCTGAGGGAAAAGAGTGTTAACCACTAACAGAGGCAGGGGACAATAAAGGAAGGGAAAGATAAGCTAAATTGTTAACAAGGAAAACTCGCTTAAAACAGTTGGGCTGAAGTTGCTGTAAAAGCTAAAAGAAACTGACTACCAGGATCAGGTAAATGACTTGAGCAGGAGCTTAATCTTTTACCCCAAGGCTAATAAGGACTAGTCAAGCTTGTCAAAGTGCCATATGTCTTTATGATGATTTCCAGATGGGATCTGGAGGGAAGAGGGGTGAGTGAAAGGAAGTCAGAGGAATCGTTAGAAGACCGTAAGCTGACGGACGTGTTTCAGAATCTCCCGTGGACAGGCTTAAAAGTGGGTGGGCGTGTGCAAGACTGGGTGCAAGATTAAATGGAATGTTGAATGAAACTTTAGAATTTATTAATGTATTTACATAATTTATAATCTTTTAAGTAATGGTCTCATAAATACAGGCTACAACTTTACATACACTAAGCAACAGATAATTGTTTTTCCCACTAAAATACTTGGGTTAAATAACTGAGAGCATTTATACACTTTCTTTACTTTTTCTCTTCTTCCTCTTTAAAACTATGGACTAGTCAACTCAGAACATATGCAATTCAATTTATTTCAGGCAGCTTCTCTACCATCCCTATCGTAAGAGCTTATGTAAAAAGGTGCCAATAATGTGCTTGATGACACATACACGACGGGGTCAGAGGGAGCCCAAGGTGAGCTGGGCATCTACTGTTATCACTGCTAATTCACTGTAGGTATCCTAGGCTAATATATGCAATGAAAAGTGCTTTAGAGATGGCAGAGATGAAATTGTTTCCATCAGTCCTATAAACAACCCATTTTAGCTTCAAATAATTGCCATCTCTCTACTTATGATATCCTACCACGTTTAAATGATAGAACCCCCTCTAACAGTGGTAACAGAAACTAAGGAAATTACAATCTCCACAAGATCTTTTTTTCCCTCCCTAACCACGAAAGTGCTAATTTTCTCTTTACAAATGTTACATACAATCTTGATTACAAAACTACTCAACAATTTAATTCTACCAGCCAAACAATTATACGTTCCTTTTCAGTAAGGTCAAAAGCCAATGATGTAGTCCCTTTTGTATACCAGAAATTCTTTACATAACACAAGTCCACAGACTGAAATATTGCTGCTGTCTTCAAAGAGAGAACAGAGCCGGTCAATTTCCATGAATCCTTTTTGCATGAAGAAGACTCAAGACCAGCTAGGTGAAACTGGTGGCAGGGACCCCAGCCCTCCAGTTAACTTTCAGGACCACCTACTTCATCGTCGTCTCCGAGGCTGAGGCTTGCTCAGTCAACAGCAGCCCCGCTTTGGCTCTGCAGGCTGTCTTCGAAGTTTGAAGCCCTTACCTCCAGATGGCGGGTTGGCGTCAGTGGATGGGATTCTTCGACCTAAACCAAGAGGATAGGAGGGAAGGGAATGGAATGAACTTTCACTTTCCAAATCTGTTCATGCTCAAACATAACAATTTTGCAGATACAATTTGATAGGTTTCAAAAAAAAACAGTTTAATAAATTTTCCTTTGGAATGATTTTAGATTCATGGAAAAGTTACAAAGATGATACAGAGTTCTTGTAACCCTCTCACCCCGTTTTCCGTAATGCTGGCAAATTACCATGGGAAATTTGTCAAAATGAAGAATTCAGCACTGCCACATCACTATTAACTTCATAGTTTTTTCAAATATCACTGCTTTTTCCCTAATGTCTTGTTTCTTGTTTCTGTTTCAGGATCCAAACAAGGATTTCACAAAAATTTTAATTGAAAATGTTTTTAGTAGTTAATACATGTTTAAAAAATTCTGTCAGAACGTTTGTCCTGTTTCATGGCAGAACTGCCAGTTACCCACTTCTTGTGCAGCCTTCGAGGAATAATTACACAAGAGCATTCAAAGGTCCATCTCTAGCCCACTCAGCTTCCCTTTCTTAGGCCCAAACAGGAACCAACAAGAGTGCACAGTGCTCTTCACCTTGCTGTTGTCAGGAGGGTAGTGGACACAACAGATGCCACTTTCTTTTCACAGCTTTACAATGATGCTCTACTGTATGGATGGACAGTAATTTACTTAACCGGTTTTCTATTGATGGTATTTAGCTTCCAACATTTTGGTGTCATTAACAGCATCTCTGAGAATCTAGGAGTGTATGCATAGGATCAATTACCAGGAGAGGAAGAGCTGGGTCATGCTTTCTACTCCTGGTTTGCCAGATACATACACCGTATTCCCAGCGTCTGTCTAGCACAAATGCTAGAAGAATGTGCAATTTAAATTTTGACAGATGCTGCCAAATTGCTCTCTGAAGAGGCTATGCCACTTTATTCTCCTACCAACGATGCATGAGAATGAACAGGCTTCACTTTACTGCTCCATGAAGCATAATGTCAATTTTGAGAGAATCCTTAAATCAACGTCCATCTACCTGGCTGATAACTCAAGGGTTGCTTCTTGACAAAGGCACTCTTGACGCCCTCCCACTTTCTGACCCTCTCCGACCTCTCAGACACCAAAATCGATCAGGACACCAGAACACGCTATTACATATTTGTTTACAAATTGGATCCTAAGCTCCTCTAGGGACGAGCTCCTGTTTCTCCATCTTTGTGTTTCCAGTGTCTTTTTAGCACAGTACCTGGCAGAGGTGTTCTGTAAACATGGAATAAATGAAACACATATGTCTTTTGACATTAACAAGGCTAAGAAGGAATCTCTGCCAACTCTGAGCAGTTTGCAGGTCAGTGTGGGCTGTGCACTGCATGGTTCCAACCCTGCTGAGGAAGGCCCCCTGTATGTGCTACAACTGCTTTTCAGATGCCTGCAGACACTGCTGTGAATAAATTATGCATTTTTCTAAAAGCTTTATTGAAGCTTCTTGTCATTATTTTTTTTTTCCCAATAAATGGACACTAAAATACAGCTGGTATCAGAGGCATCTGGGAAACATGACATAAAAATTTTGGGGAAAAATAAATAACATTTTTAGAAGAAAGCAGAAGAGAACATCTTCATGAACTGGGAATAGGCAATGACTTCTTTTTTTTCTTTTGGCCTGGGCTGGGTTTGAACCCACCACCTCCGGTGGTGTATGGGTCTGGCGCCCTACCCTGTTGAGCCACAGGCGCCACCTGGCAATGACTTCTTTTTAAAGGCAACCAAAAATATTTGTGCTAATCATGAGAAGAAGAAAGACAAACTGGATTATATTAAGATTACTTCAGTTCACTGAAGGAGTTGATTTAAAAATCAAAGTCAAGCCAGAGAGTAGAAGATATTTCTAATACATCTAATCAATAAAGGACTGATGTTCAATAAAGAACTATAAAATACAAAGAAGGTAAGTAACCCAAAAGGAAAACAGGCAAAAAAAGATGTAATAGGCACTGCACAAAAGAGGAGATCCAGGTATTATATAAATGCAAATAAATATCCAGAAAGGTGCTCAGCCGTTATTAACTGCCATGGAAACCGAGATGACCACCTACTCACCAGAGACAGAAAGTAACGGGAATTTCCACACACCACCAATGTGGGTGTCAACAAGTACAACCGCCACTTTGGAACTCACTGGCAGTCATGCTGTACTGAAGGCATGCATAACCAAGGACCCAGCAATTCTTCTTGTGGGTATAAATGTACCTAATCAAAACGTGTACAGATGTTCAGCAAAGAAAATGACCAGACTGTTTACAGCAGTCTTACTTATCCTAAATCTAAATTGGAAATAACTACCCAAATGCCTATCAACAGCAGAATGGACACTGTGGATGCCCTCTCCTTCCCCAACCCCCCTTCTGACTCGGACACTGCAGCAGCACACACGCCAGCTGTGAGAGCGCTCACCTATGCAATATGCAGCAACACAAGTCGTCTAAAGATGTAAAGCAGAACAGCAGCTAGACACAGAAGGGGAAAGACAGTATGTTTCAAAAAATACAGAGTACAAAATATGTGTAAAATACAAACAGGCAACACCGATCGGAAGAATTAGTAGTCAGGATGGTGGGGATGCTAGGAGGTGTAGAAACCGCCACGTCCCAGCCTGGATGCCAAACACAGGAGTATATTCAGTTTGTGAAAATTCACTGACTTTGCACTTCTGGTATGTGCACTTTTCTTCCATAAAAAGTCAGTGTGCTGGCGGTGCCTGTAGCTCAGTGGGTAGAGCACTGACTATATACACAGAGGCTGGCAGGTTCGAACCCAGCCTGGGCCAGCTAGAATGGCGATGACAACGGCAACAACAACAACAGAACAGCTGGGTGCTGTGGTGGATATCTGTAGTGCCAGTTACTTGGGAGGCTGAGGCAAAAGAATCGCTTGAGCCCAAGAGTTAGAGGCTGCTGTGAGCTGTGATGCCACAGTACTCTACCCAGGGCGATAGCTTGAGACTCTGTCTCAAAAAAAAAAAAGTCAGTGTGCCAAGCACCAAGGTCAAGTAATCTCACAACACCCAGTGAACAACAAAGTTCTTTATATCTCTTTTGATTCTTCTAATCTTTGTGGACATATAGTTCTTGCTTTTCATAGTAAAAGTTAGTATGTACATACTAGTTTTTATATAAGAATTTTCATAGTTGGTGTAGTTCACCCCCTTCCTATATCTAATACTGCCATAGTAAAGGAACGCTTTATTTTTTATTTTTATTTTTTGCAGTTTTTTTGGCCAGGACTCGGTTTGAACCCGCCACCCCCAGTGTATGGGGCCGGCGCCCTACTCCTTGAGCTACAGGCGCCGCCCGTAAAGAACACTTTAAAGCAGTGGTTCTCCACCTTCCTAATGCTGCGACCCATTAATACAGTTCCTCATGTTGTGGTGACCCCCAACCATAAAATTATTTTTGTTGCTACTTCATGAAGGGCTGTAGTCATGGTGTCACATACTTAGATATTTTAGCTTAAACTGTGAAAAATTCCCAACTGGCCTTATGTTGCCTTTTAAGAACACATTTAGGTACCTGCTATTTACATCTAGGACAACAACAAATATCATGACTTTCTAAGGTTGAAATGAAGGCGCTAACATAGAGGGTGCCATCGGTAGCCTGCTGGCCATATCTGGAGAGAGGTGGGCTCCTTAGGTCTGCAAGGTATTCTGAAAATATTTGAATTAGTGGCTAAATCTGAAAATGGCATGTGAAAAAATCTGAGACCTCCAGCAGCTGGGCAACCAGGGGCCCACATTGCAGAATAGCCTCAACTGCTGGAGCTGGGCCTGACCTGCCAGCTGTCGGGGTCCCCAGGGGCCCCCCAGCCTACTCTGCTCACCCCACCTGGCCTTGGTGGGCACTGGGCTTCATGTCCCCCTCTGCATGATGGCCAAAAGCCCTTCCAGCCTCAGTCCCTTTGGATCCACACATCAGGTCTCAATGGGTAAGTCCACCATGTTCTTCAGAAGGAACATGTCAGGGAGTCTGACATGTTCTCATCAAGTCTGATGCACGTCCCCATATCTCGGCTCTCTCAGCTCCAATATCACCTCCTCGGAGACGCCTTTCCTGGTCACCTGCAGGCATTCATTCATTTCATCCTGTGAATTATTTTCTTCATATTACTTATTTCTATCTGAAATGAGCCTATTTATTTGCTGTTCACTGTGCCTCCCTCTGTAGAACATGCACTCCAGAAGAGCAAAGGCTGCATCTATCTTTTTCACGGCAGTCTCCCCTGAGCCGGGAATAGCTCCCAATAAATATTTTGATGAATTTGAATGAAATGAATAAACATAGATGCAATCTGTAGAGGATCCCAAAGGTATGCAGCAGCCTCTCTCCCGTCTAGTGTCATCATATTAACACTGCTGGGCAGGGAAGCGGAAGGGTGGGAAAAGAAGTTTACCTTTCACTTGCCTAATATTAATTTTTGAGAGTTTTCTTAAAGTGGAATTACAGCTGCATTTCAGTTCCCTTTATTTATTTTGTTCATTTTTGATGACCTTGGATGACTAATTGAAACACATTTAAATAGAGAAAAGGGAGAGAGGACAGTTTCCATGACCTCCATGACCTACGCATTATTTATTCAGCAGCAACGTTCTTTCTAGAAGGGCTGTAGTCATCAGGCACAGCTCTCCAGCAATTATAATGGATACCAAAGCCAGCTATTAGTCTTACATTCCCAAGTCTTTTCACTGAGGACAATTTCAGAGACTATATAAAGTGGGAATTCTAACCAGGAAGATAATTCTGTTTTAAGTTGCTCTGCACAAAGGAAACCGGTTAAGGCGCAGAGATACTCACTAATTTCTATAAAGAGTTCATTTATGTTTATCGCGTTTTTTGCGCTGGTCTCTACAAAAATTGCATGAATGGAGTCGGCGTAGTCCTTAGCATCTCTCTCCATGACTTCTCTGGAAGGCAACAATCGCAAATCAGAAATTCTACCCATTAACATCTTAATG